CCATGAATTGTAAGCCGCCCTGAGTCCCCCCAGGGAAAAGGGCGGCCTATAAATAAACTTTTCAATTCAATTCAATATTGCAACTGGTTGTGAGTGCAAGCTGATTGCCAAGGGGGTTCTTGGATGGCTGGAATTCTAAGGATCAGCCAATACCACCATTCATTCAGCACCTTTGTAACAACAGACAGTAGCTGGCCGAATGATCATAGATTGAGGGCTTCCTGTATGTGTTATGAGCCTTTGGTATCTGGTTGGCAAAAGCAATTATGTACTTACCTGTGTTTTATTTAGTGGTGACTTCTTTGACCACTCAAACATATTTTCATATATGTTACCATCATACCGGCCAAGCACAGATCCAAGCACAGAATCAGAGAAATCAAAGGAATCCACCAGAGCTACTGCATTAGGACGGATAAGGGCCAAGAGTTCTTTTATATGCATGTTCACTTGAATTAGCTGGGCCTCTGTCAAAATGCCTCCCTGAAGCAAAAAAGAATAGTTCATAACAATCAGAGCTCTACACCTCTAAGTGCTTATCAATCACTACAGGGAGAATTAATACAAAAGCTGCTCTTTTAGATCTGTAAACAAATCTGACCTGAACTTTAATTCTAAATAAGCAATTAAGATTGCAAATGAGTATTGCCTGTATTTTTTTTAAAATGGCATTGCTTTTCTTAAGAATAAAATTACTGTTATCATAGTTAATGTTCATCAATTCCAATGTTCATCTACCAAACTTTTTAAGTCCTTGGTATGATCTCACAAAAAATACTTTCCTGCCCCCAATTTTAAGATGATCCAGATTTAGCAAAGCATCACTGATACCACTGTGAGATCTTTGGCAGCTATCCTGTGAGCTTTGGTAAGAAATGGCAAGAATTCAACCGTTTACAGTTTTTATACCATTTTCATTTAATTTTGGACTGCTGAAAATGTCATTTCAGCACAATATTTTCAATTTAGACATTGTAATTCCCAAGGGCAAAATACTGCTGAGATGTTTATTTACATTACAACTGCTTTGTATGGCAAATATGTACTCCAAATCCAACGAGGCTATCTTTGTTTTATCCATGATAATCTAACCTTGCCTTTGTTATCAAATTATATCATCATACTATTGCTCACTTTTCCCCTCCAGATCTGATTAATTTATATCTCAACTAGATACTCTGTCTAACAGAACCATTCAGCTCTAAGTAGAAATTATTTACCCACCTGTAGAAACTCTCCAGAGTTCTTTATAATCCCACATAGAGCATACAGTAAACATAAATTGTTAAGGACAGCATGGACAGCTGGGTCACCAATTTCTGAAAGCTTCGCTGTAAACAGTTTGACCACCACATAGTGACAGTGTGCCTGAAAAGATAAGAAGACAGATTGACGTGACTTCAGGTGTTGTAAAATCCAATAAATATCCAAGAGTATCTATCGTATTCTGAGGTGCTACTGACCTCAGATGCTCGTACTAGATCAATGGAAGTCCGGTTCCAAGCATCTTCTTTGCTTTTCCGACGGTTCAGTTCAGCCTGTAAATTTTTTGCTGCAAAGTCAACCATCCTGTATCATAGAAAAACACGCGCACAATTTATTATACTTGGAATTGAGGCCATAAATAACACTCAGCTAGTGACATCTGAACATTGATATGGCACTGATAAATAGTCATAGCTTCAAATGTCTAGATTGATAAAGCCAAGGATTTAAAATCCAAAATCAATTCAGCTTTTACTCCTAGTGAACTTTGGCCTTTATTCGTAGTCTGTAAAATGAACAGTAATGATTCCATTCAAAGCTGTGAATGTAGATTTTGCCCCATATTTTCAAATATGGAATGTCTCATTCTTATGGCCTAAATACTATTTTAATATTGCTCTCAGTTGATCATAATGAATGAAACAGTAACATTATAGCCTCGACATTTTACTTTTGCATACTTAATATGCACTAGCCATTTCTATAATAAACTTATCCCATCAGCAAAATCCAAAGTCAAAGGCTGATATAATGTTAACATAATTTATGTTACAACTTGATTGAACATAATAATACTTTCCCCCGTTGGAATTTTAGCTATATCTCAGTTCACTGTAGGGAAGCCATTGCATTTGACCTTGATCAAAAGTGACCACAGTATATATATAACTGTCCAGAAGCAGTTTTAGTACCATTGCTCTGAAACAAAGCAGGAATGCTGGAATCTATTAAATAGCACTGCCCCCCTTCTTAGAAGACCATGAAAAAGAGATTTGATTTTCTGGCTCAGTAGTAGTGTTTTTAAACAAATTTTCAGAGGTACTATCCCTTGATCAATTTTTGAAATAACCGATCTTCCAAATCATGCTATTCTAAACAAATCTTTCTTTACAGTATGTCATCTCCTGCGGGGCCCATTGCAAACTGTTCCATAAAAGATTAATTACTGAGCAGTCTGACATTTCATTCATATTTATGACTAATTGCCTTCTGCCCTGACCTCCTCTCAACCTGCAATGTTCTGAGAGGTTCTGCCCTAGCAATATATAGTTGTTACACCCCAATACATCTTTCTGGTAGTTGTCAATCGGTAGCTTGCATTCATCAGGTAAACCTGGGTCCATTATTTGAACCATGTAAGGCCATGTTAGTAGCAACTGCCCAATCCTATCCAGATCAAATCAGCCAGATATGAAATTGTTAGAATGAAGTAGCCAAGGGAGCAGCTTGGTTAATAAAAATGAGAGAGACAAGATGACCAGTCCAAATGGCCAGCTGAGAAATTTCATAACCTTTTATATTGACCTACCTTGAAGCTCTCAATTTATATGCCTCCACCAAACTGGAAGGATTGTTGATTTGCAGAGTTGCGGGTCGAGCAGCCACATGCTGAGGCTGAATATGCTGTCCTGATAGGTCATTCAGGTAAGACATGATGCCACTAACTAATTGTCCAGAACTAACTTGGGCATAACTTTTGACAAGGAATCTAAATGCAAAACAAAATTATTTCATGTCATATGATGGATCATCATCATAATTTATCAGCAGTTGCACTATAATTTCCAAAAAATGCTTATGGGATAAAATTGCGAAGGTAAAAAAGATGTCAATAATTAAAGTAACTTGTGTCAGTTTAGACTATAAAACCTAGACAGGGTCAAAAGCTGCACTTAACCAAAATATTTCATACCTTGATTGATTTATGTGCTATCCAAGCTGTATCAATTCTTAGTGACCACATATATAGTCCTAAATGTCTCTTTTCACATCTTCCAATGATGCATGTGTTGCCACTATAACCAAGCCCATCTACTTTGCTGCTGGTCACTCTTTTCTCTTTTCTTCCACCTAGAATTAGAACCTCATCTAGAGAGCTAGGACTTCATATAATGTGTCTGAAGTAGGATAATTTGAGCCTGATAATTTGTGTCTCAAATGAGAACTCTGGGTTGAGTTTTTCAGTTATCCGCTTATTTTCTTGGCTGTCCATGGTGTTCTCAGTAAGCTTCTTCAACACCTTCTTCAAGTTTAAAAATGTCTATTTTCCTATCCTGCTTCAAGCAAAAGTTAACTTACACTTCCATAGGGAGTCACAGGGAACACTATTGCTTGCACAACTCTGATCTTTGTAGATATAGACAACCACGACATCTGAATATCTTTTCCAAGGCTTTAAAGTCTGCTCTACCATGTGCTAATCTGGGGCATATTTCTTGATTGCTTGTTCCTTTCCTGTTGATGTCTATGGAGATTCTCAGTCATCCAGGTTATGGTTGTCCCAAAAATGCTTTTTCCAAGAGGCAACTGGACTTTCTAATTTTTCTTTGAAGAGATTTTGCTTCTCATCCAAGAAGCTTTTTCAGCTCTTGGATAACTGAAGAAGCTTCGGGGATGAGAAGCAAAATGTCTTTAAAGAAAAACCAGAAAGTCCAGTTGCCTCTTGAAAAAGCATCTTTGGGCTTACTGTTGGTGGTTGACCCTAAAAGACAGAAGCTATGTACCATTTTGATACCTTGATTATTATTCTGAGAATGGTTGTTCTACCTGTTGTCGTTAGTTTTCTTCTTTCATTTAATTGTACTCCCTTTTTTTCCACCATGTTCCTTGACTTTTATTAGTAGACCTTGCATATCTTTGCATTTTGGGCTATTCAAATAGTATCTTCAGCATAGGCTCAAGTTATTATGTTTCTTCCTTCTTGCTTTTTGAGTCCATGCAAAATGTCACACAACTAACAATACGTGGTATGACTCACCGGGCAGTTTGCAACATCATCACAGTGTTCTCTCCTTCATAAGTGCAAGCAGGAGTGAAGTTGACGTAAATATCAGGCAAACCACTGCAGCGGGAGTAGCCATGTCCCCCACATGCCATCCGACATTCCTCAATGCCAGCATTGGCACTCCAGGAACTGAAAGCCTTAAGACCTGCAGACAGTGCGTGCAACTGAGAAAGTAATTAAGAACAAAACAATTATTTCTTTCAGCTTTGTCCTGTCACTAAATTCTATCTTCCTGAATTTTTGATTGGGGGGGGGGGGTAGAAGAGTGACGAGATTAAGAAGGTAATCCAGATTATCTCCAAGATCAAAATTCTTCCTAGAGATTTTAAAACTCCAAGAGGGGACATTCTGTCAAGACATAAAACATATGTTCCATCTGGATATTTTATAAAACATTAAACCAGCATAGCAAACTATAAGAATTCATCCCATAATCTGTCATGTCCACTTTTTGATTTACACCAGTGTTACATTTATTAAATCATTTCCATAGCTGCTGAACTCGGTTCACCGACAAATGCATGCCCGACAAAAGCGCGCCGAGAAAACCGTGCCGAGAAAACCGCAAGGTCAAAATTACGCCCACAGAAGCACGCCGACAAATGCGAGCCGATGAAAGCGCGCCAACAAACAACGCAAAAACAATGTAATAACCCTAACCCTAAATCCAACCCTTACCTTTTGTGGGCATGGTTTTGTGGGAGCGCTTTCGACGTCACGGTTTTCTCACCACAGTTTTGTCAGTGCGCTTTTGTCGGGCGTGCATTTGACGGGTCACGGCCGAACTCAGACCTCATGACTCTGAGCTTTGTATGTACATCTATACATGTAACACGCACGAAGGACTAAGGCTTACAAAAATTTGCAGGAGAAATTTTCAGGAACAAGTCCAAATCAGAATTTAGGTTTCAATATCAAGCTTTTGTAAATAATAATAATTTAAATGACTGACATACCAGAAGTGGAACTCAAATCATTTTTAATGGTTTGATTTGTTGGTCTAAATAGCAATAGCAGTTAGGCTTATATACCGCTTCATAGGGCTTTCAGCCCTCTCTAAGCGGTTTACAGAGTCAGCATATTGCCCCCAACAACAA